TAAAGCCGATAATTAAAATGAGGTCAATGGTTTAATTCATTGTGCGATTAATTAATTTATCATTTATCGCGACAGGGCTAGTTGTTCCTCTTTAATCCTGGTAGAAAGTCAGACGGTGTGATGGTGTTGATGTGTTCCATTTGGACAGAGTCAGATTCCTGGTACACACACCATTTCTATTTATTAAAAATAGAAAAATCAACAAGGATGTTCACGCCACCTTACCTCAGATGGGATTTTGTTTGTTTTTTATTTATTTTGTTTTGTTTCCATCCCTATTTTGCCATCATTTTTGTCAAAAGTGTTACTGCCATCTTGTGTTTTTTTGATAACTTATAATGTGAAATGTATATAGCTGTAAGAGAAAGAAGAATGATTGAATACTAGTTCTAGTTCTATTTATTGTTAAAAAAATAAATAGAAACTAAGTAAAACAAAAAAACAGAAAAGCAAGAAATCCAATTTACATAAATATAAATACACTGCTCAAAAAAATAAAGGGAACACTCAAATAACACATCCTAGATCTGAATGAATGAAATATTCTAATTGAATACTTTGTTCTGTACAAAGTTGAATGTGCTGACAACAAAATCACACAAAAATCATCAATGGAAATCAAATTTATTAACCAATGGAGGCCTGGATTTGGAGCCACACACAAAATTAAAGTGAAATGTTCCCTTTATTTTTTTGAGCAATATATTAACTGCCGTAGTCACAAAGAAAAAAAAACTGATAATCTTTGAGATGTTTCTATAACTTAAATGAAGTTCAGCTGTGTCTAGTTCAGTTGATTGGGCTTGATTTGAAAAGGCACACACTTGTTTCCATGAGGTCTCACAGGTGACAGCAGGTCATAGGTCAAACACCAAAAATGAGATCAAAGAAACTGTCTGTAGACAGGATTATATTAAGTCACAAATCTGTGGAAGGATCCAAAAATCACCATATGGAGGTCCAGGAGGGGCTGAGCCAGAGTCCAGACTTGAATCTGACTGACCTACTCTGGAGAGATCTAAACATGACTGACAGACGTCTCCATCCAACCTAATGGAGAAGAACTGCAGAGAAGAGTGGATGTAACTGCCTAAAGACAGGTGAGCTAACCTGGAGACTGCAACTGTTAGCCAAGGTCGATCAACAAAGTATTAGGGTAACACTGTAAATACTTAAATAAATATGGTTTCTTAAGTTTTCTATTTGCAACGAGAACATTTCCACATGGTGATAATGGAGAATCATAATTTTGAATAAAATTTTGAATAAAGAGGATAATTTTATACAATTTGGAATAAGGATTCAATATAAGATAGAGGGGGAAAGTAAATACTTCCCAGATGCATTTGTATTTGAGCTTTTGAGATACTAATCAGTTTCTCCTAGTTCTAAAACAATACCTTGTTACCATGGTTATTCATCATACCAGCTGTTAGAAAGTAGAAAATTAGGAGCAAAAATCCTTGCATGTATCAGAACGTGCATTATGTGCCATCAGAACATGCCGTACTGATGACACATAATGCACTTTGAACTGCATTGTTGCTGAAAAAGTGCAGGAAAAAAAGTGCAAGAAAACTTCTTCACACAAACACACACGTGCACCCCTGGTAACTCTGATGCACATGAAATGCTGCATAACATGCAGCAAAATGTTTGTTGTGAATATATCAGCCACAGTAGAAGGAGAAAGTTAGCGACTCACCCTGCGGTTGTCTACAGGGCTGTGGTAGAACTGAGAGATGACCTGCTTACTGCCGTTCTTGGCCTTCGCTTCAGAGAGCTGGAAGTTGGCCGACACCGGTATGAAAGTTGTCCCATAGTTGTACGAAACATAGACCTGAAGAGGAACATGGGGATCAGGATTTTAAGGCCCATTCCAAAGCCTCGCTGTGTGCAACTTTTGAACAATGATTCCCTTTTTCTATAGTTACTACAGCAAGTTTGGCTAATGACCATTTCATCTATTGTCCCTTTTAACGCTGGCTCTACTTTAGCAGCCCTGGTCTACTCGACCCAGCCTGGCTCAGCTCCACTTTGAAGTAATCCCATTTCCACAGACCTGGTGTTCTAACTATCCGCGCTACCCAGGGGGTAAATCCCATCTCATTATTGGAGGGGACCTTTAACAGGAAAATTTCTTAAGAGCAATTTTGCGGGGGTCGGCGAAGTTCCATTGAAATGTAACGTAAAATGTGGTTTAAAAAGTTTTTAAACTACATTCAAGCTGCAGGACCAAAAATGACTAGTAATGCACATCAAACATGTTTTATTCTCAGCAGAGAAGTAAAACTAAAATTCAAATGTTGTTTAGATACGAGTTTTGTTCAGTCTGACTGATCTAATCTCTGCTCCACCTTTACAAAAATGTAAGGTTCTTAATGCAAAAGCTTTAATGAATAACTTCTCTTAATAAAATTCCTCATAAACATTGATTTACTGAAATGACTCCCAATACAAGTTATGACCTATTTAAATTATGTTATTATGTTGCTTTATTTTTAAGCCTTTTTTAGTTTTGTCATGTCCTGGGTGAGTGAGAACAAATAAGTAGATAGAAATGAATATCTGGGGAGTATTATAATTTAAACGCAACACTTAAAGCACAAGAGTTTATATAGAAAAATATTCAGATTTTATTTTGTGATTTTAAAGGCTCTATGCTGAAGACGATGAGAAATAAAGGCAGCTTTCTGTTTTTGATATGTTCTCAGCTCCCACAAACTCTTCTAATTAGCTAAAACTTAAAGAATAAATATGAATGAGATGTTTGCTACCTTTAACAAAAAAGCTTAAGTCTATGAAAGCAGTGTAGCAGTTTTGCTAATAAGGCAGCTTATCATAATTCAGTCAAAGTAATGAAATAACAAAATGGAGTCTGATTTTTATTGTTAATGTGTTTCTTCCCACTGAGCAATGAAAGTAAATAAAATGTTTACATGTCTATTGCTGTACGTATTTACTTACTGGAGGGGGTTTTATTTGTGATGCAAAACTACAGCTAACAGCTAGCTCCTCACTTCAGCAGCTGTGACCAGCCTGTGCCATTTGGAGCCTGCTGTTGCTCCTCCTACACCTTGGACTGAACCCATTGTTCTAATGATGGTGGGGGAGAGGGAGCTAAAAATTAATTTTTATTTTGTTCTGAGATAAATGGGAGATTTATTTCGTTTTTTGTTTCTTTTGCCTTTTCATATTAATTTTATTTAAATGCTAACATTTCTTCAATTATTTTCTTATGGGGAGACAATTCTAGACTTTTCCAAGTCTGGACTCCCCCAACCCCCCCGGGATTTACGTCTATGTACCCAATGCGATCTACCTTGTGGTAATGTCAGCTTCCGGGGGATATGGCGGACAAGGTAGTCATGTGTCTCTGAGGTCCCCACTCCAAGTTAATTAATGAAGTAAACTACTAGTAAATATCTGAAATATCAGTACTCAGCTTGAAGTACGAAGAAAAGCAACGCATGGAAAAAAAGAACGAAAGGTACGTCCCAGGAAGAAATGAACACTGAAGCTATTTTGAGCGCTATAAGTTCCTTAGGAGTTAGGACAGAAAGTCCCGCTTAGTTTCATCGAAGGCAAATGCATCCTGGATATTTCTTCAGCTGAGAACTGAGATACAGCAGAAATTAGCATTTAATGGTGGACAGTTCTGTTAAAGGGACCTCTACCTCAAGTTTTTTTCACTCTCCTAAACCGTTTGTACGTGTTCATGTGTTCTATTTTTCAGATAAAAACCAATTTTTCTTCTGTTTCTTTTAACACAAGGGGACTAAAAGACTCACTTAAACGGAAAGCAGTTTTTTTTTTTTTTGTTTTGTAAAGGACAACAAGCACACTGCACCTTTTTAAAGGAAACTCATTCTGATGCATCTGATGTGAAGTTCTGGTCGCAGCAATGGAGAGATAAAATTCTCTTAAGTCATGGGACAAATTGATCGGCTGGAGTCGCCATCTGCTTTTTCAGATGTCTGTCTAAGATTCTGAGTGAAAAAGCAGATGAAGATGGACATTGGGTAGTCTGTATTTTGGAAGTTGATAATGTTCCGATAATTTTGTTAAACATTTATGGATATAATAATGATCAATACAATAGAAATCTGTTACATCAAATAACAATGGTTATTGCGGAGCTCACTGCTAATTTTCTTACGGATCATATCATAGTTGGAGGGGATTTCAATTTAGCTCCAGATGAATGGATGGATAGATGACCTTCACTGCTGGTAAAAGAAACTCTAAATAATATTCCTAAAGAATATTATTTATCTGCTGAAGTCCTTGAGTGTCTTAAAGAAACAGTGATAGCAAACTGTCCTTTAAGTGATCACTGCATTATCAATTTAAAACTACAAAAAACTAAATAGAAGTTATAAACCTAATAATAATTACTGGAAATTTAATTCAAAGCTTCTTACAAACTTAGAGTTTTGTCAATTTATTAAGGAACTTATTCTAAATATATCAAATGACAATTCTATTGAAACACAAATTCTTAAGTGGGAATACTTGAAATATAGTACTAGAAAGTATTCAATTAAGCTTGGTCAAGATTTAAACAGAAAAATAAAAGCAGAAGAGACAATGGTGATTAAAGATCTTATGTCACTTTACAGAAAATTGAGTTGGAGTGATGAGGATAAAGAAACAATAAATAAATTGCAATCTAAATTAGATGAGATATACATAAATAGGCCAAAAGGTGCTTATGTAAGGTCCAGAGCCAGGTGGATCAAAGAAGGAGAAAAGAATAGTGCTTTCTTTTGTAACTTAGAAAAACATAGACAGGAATATAATGCATTTAATAGTCTTATGAGTGATGGAGTGGATCATAAGAGAATAACAGAAGACTAAGAGAACAGAAGTAGTATTTAATTTCTATAGTAATCTTTATAAATCTTCACATACAGAACAAATTACTTAATCGTTTTTTTGATAAAGTAAGAAATCTGATTCCTGTTATTGATGAAAACTTTAAGGAAATCTGTGATGAAGAGCTAAGAATCTCCTAATTTGATATTACTATAAGAAATATGGCGTCTGACCGCGCCCCCGGGCCAGACAGACTTACAGCTAACTTTTATAAACATTTCTGGGAGGATTTAAAACCTCTGCTGTTCCAGGCTGTAGCAGAATGTGTTGGAAGGAAGGAACTCATGGAAACTATGAAACAAGGTGTAATTAAACTAATCCAAAAACCTGGTAAAGATAAGAAAAAAATTAAATAATTTAAGGCCTATCACGCTGTTGAACACAGACTACAAGATCCTAACAAAAGTTCTGGCAACGAGGTTAAAAACTGGCTTACCCAAAATAATTAGTCAAACTCAATCCGGCTTTCTAAAAGGCAGATCCATCCGTAACAACACCTGCCTGGTTCTGGACTTATTGATTATAGTCACTTAATAAGAGATGATGGTTTTATGTTGCCTTTAGATTTCCACAAAGCATTTGATTCTGTGGAACATCAATTTATTGTTAACATGTTGAGACATTTTGGATTTGGAAATAGTTTTCTTAATATGATTACCATGTTAAACAGCAATATTAACAGCTGTGTGTCTCTGCCACAGGGCACATGCCCCAGATTCAAAGTAGAAAGAGAAATCATTATGAGGAAATTGTCAAGACAATCGATTTTGAAATTATGAATGGCACATTAAAAATTAGATGGCTTAATCTCTTTTAAAAAACGGTGATATTATTTGGTTTGTTGTTCCGTTGTTCATATTTCAAAAAGTTGTAGGTATTGAGTTATTGAAATGTGATTTTGAATTATCTAAACTCCCCCTACAACTCTCTTCTTTCCATCAACATGTTTTGTTACAGTGGAAGTTGATGTTCAAGCACAATTTCAGACCCCATTATGTCCCACTGTGGAACAACAGAGCCATTCTATGTGGTAGAAAATCTATATTTATGAAAGATTGGTGGAATAAACAAATCTGGTCAATTACTCATTTACTGGATGTAAATGGTGAAATTCTCAGTTTGGAGGAATTTAACAGGAAGAACTAAACTGATTGTTCACTAACAAATTATAAGAAAGTACTACATAGTATCCCTAATATCCTCATTTTGTCATTTAAAAACAATTTGTCTAGTTTCTCTATTCCAAGACTCCATACGATTCAAATTGAGTATGTGGACATTAGAGATAATAAATGCAGCAACAAGTTTTTGAATCAGTATTCAATGATTAACATGTACCCAGGAAGAACAAAAAGCACAGTTCTCTTACAAAATTTTAACAAATCTATGGTAGTCAAAATTAGGACAAATTATTTGAAATTCCCAATTCCTCCTAAATATAAAGAGTTACATTTTAAAATAATAACATATATTCTTCAAATGAGTTCTTAAGATAGATTTAATTGGAAAGTTAAGAATTGTGGTTTTTGTACAACTCAATTGGAAACAACTAAACATTTGTTTTATGAATGTAAAGAAGTATTAAACTTATAGGATCAACTTCGTAGCTTTCTGTCTTCTAAAACAAACATGGATTTTGTTTCTTTACAAAACATTCAGTTCGGCTTATCCATTAAAGAAAAATATCTGGAATTTTTAGTCAATATTCTAATTATTATAACAAAATATTATATCCATAAATATCACTATGCAAAATGCTCCCTCTCAATCACTGCTCTCAAAAACGAACTTTGAAAGATGTTTGAAAAAGATGCAGAATTTAAACCCAGTAAAATTGTATGAGTTAATGGAAGATTTTCCCCCGAACACGTCTCTTATTAATTTAATTTAACTTATTTTATTTTATTATTTTTTATTATTTCTTTTGATTTATTATGTATTTTTTCAATAATTTTTGTCTTTTCTTTGAGTCTTTGTAACCAATTGTGATTTGTAAACAATAGGAGTTGTGATATTTAGTTTTTGTAATGTTTGTTATTGATGTGTTGTGAGTTTGTTATTCTTGTATATTCAATAATTTTTTTTTAAACCTTGTGGTAATGCGCTTCTGCGCATTGATATTATGTCACTTGCTCCTTACTCAGCAGATTTCTTATCCATACGTCCTACCTTTGGAGGTTTCCAAAGGTAGGACGTCTGTTCTATTTTGTCGAAGATTACAGTACACTTTGTTTAATTTATTTTATACCTGGCTTTCATTAATCTGCTGTATTACTTCATGTTTTAAATTTACATGACAGGCAGCTTGTAAACATATTTGTAAATGGCTTTAGTTTGCCATCTGCAATGTTGTTACCAGGGGTGAAAGTAAGCCATCATGGTCGGGTACTGCGTGTCACTAAAAGATTTAGCACGGGTACACAGTACTGGCAAGAAAGGGGAGCGGCTGTCTGCAGTACAGAATCAGTCACTCGTGTCTAGTTAGTTATAAAAAAGTTAATGAGTAATAGTAGAAATTTACATTTACATAGACTTTACGACGATGTACATATGCCTATTTATCAGATTTTGGGAGTTTTTCCATCACATGCTACATAATAGTAGCCCTTGATGACCACATGGAGACATAGCAGCATGGCAAATTCTGTGGGAGGAGACCATCCTCATTAACAAATTCTAAAAAAAAAAAAAAAAAAAAAAAAAAAAAAAGTAAAGATTATTTTAAGATACTTAGGCTACTATTGACAGCATAATTCTGCATAATTATTAGAATCTGCCAACAGATTATAATAACCTTACGCATATCAATACCATCTACCATTGCATAAGCAATGAACAGTCTATAGCACAGTTAACAAATAGCTTTTTTCACTTCATATTGTTTCTGAACTGTTCGTGTTATGCTAGAGCCTCAATTCTCTACCTTTTGCCCCCCTCGGAGTTTGAGGCTTTCGTCAACTGCCAGCCTTTAAAAGGTCATCCGCTATGTTTAATGTCGTAGCGGAGGACTGCTACGACATTGTTTGTTACAAAATATCTTAAGTAAAAGCAAAGAGAGATGAATTAATTGCGTTTCATGTAATTCTGCTCAATTTCAACAACAGATCACAGCTTGAGAATATCGTTATGATTAGAGATTTTATTTGGGTTGCATGAGAGCGCTTGCGCGTTTATCTCCTGTCGTGAAAACTGGCATAAGGTGGTGAGATCTCTCCAGGTACACGCAGAAAACGGAGCAAAGGCCTGAGAAATAACAGTAATCTTGCATAGTGATTTAATGATGATTAAAAGATGAATAAAAATACATACATATGTAACGATTGGAATGGTCTGTAATGTCTGTAATGTATGTTTGAAATATAGATTCTGTATTCTTGATCTGTAGTAACAGTAACAACTCGATTGTTGTATGTTGATTATTGATGATTAGAAATGGTAACAACTTGAGTTACAGAATAGATAAGTGATGGAGAATCATACTGAGAGTTATGAGTTGATAAAATGACAAATTGATTATGTTTAATAATAAATTACAGAAATGAGATGACTGAGGATTTGAGATCGTGAGAAATGAAGGCAGGTTCTGTTCTCAAACTGTGTCGCAATTAGTACACTGAGCTAGGCGAGGGCGCAGGGAAGGCTCAAAAAAGGGAAATACCGAAGAGGGTTGCTGCAATGAGTCACGAAAGAGATGATGATTGGGAAAGATTGGGGCTTTTCCACAGGCTCATCGGAACATTTCAGGAGTCACGTAGACCTCTCCCACACACAACCATGGGCTGAGAGGGTATAAAAACCAGCAGACAGGGGAAGGAACTGTTCTTTGTCCGCGGCGCTGAAGAAGAGCCAACAAGAGGACGCAGATTGAAGACCAGCAGAGCACCGCACCTTGGAACCAAGGGGAAGTTGAAACTTCACGCCGCTAAGAAGGGACAAGATCCATCTGCCCCCAGCCCTGGTTCCTGATTCGACCAACACCTCTGCCTCAACCCAACGATCTCTACCCAACTGCAGCAGACTTGGAGAAAAGACAAAGGTCATTGATTGACGAAGATTCTGTGCGTTTGAAGGACGACGGACAGTTCTGCTTTGGTTCTATTCTGAAAGGGGACTTTGCCACGTCAGGACAGAGACTCTGACCAAGGACATCTGAAGATTTCTGCTGCCGGGATCAATTGCCATCTGGTGTGAGTTGAACTGCCCCCCAAAAGCCTCGCTTAGTTAAACTAGTGACACAGGATAGGGATAGAAATGAAGATAGGTTATAATTGATTTAAGTTGAATTTATTGTCTTACTGCCAATTTGTAATCTCTGAAAGTTAATCTCCTTGTCATTTATCCCTGCTAAAGCTTGCTTAATAAATTACATACTAAAAATTCCAATGAAACTTGTGGACATTGAGATTAATTGAGTCATTTGACCATTGCAGTTTCCCCTGATTACAGTAAAATTAGCATACATGATTCTAGAGATGTGGTGGCTTCGTACTTTCCTTTGGTGAGTGAGAAAATAATGACCCTGGGACTTAATTCTAAGTCACTAAATCTAATCTAGCCGTAAACAAGTGCCGTTATTTTAGGAAAAGAGCTACCGTTAACAGGAGTGGTTGTTGAAGCTATGCAGCTGTGAGGGCTACTCAGCTGACTGTTTCTCAACTGAAAAGGGTCGTAACTTCTGGATTGTAGGTAGTTAGAGCTAGACGAGTCTTTTCCGTCACCAGTTTAAATAGAATATCTCTTGTAAACCAACTCTGGGGTAAGACCCGGGTTTCAGAGATTTTCCGGACCTGTTAGACAGAGAACTGGTCAGTAGTCAGTCGAATGAGTGGTGAGATAAGGGCAGGGTATTGCGTAATAACAAACACTCCAAAACACAGTGGTTGCCAAGGGGATTCGTGCGTTTGACTTAATGAACTGGGTCATTTGCAAAGGTGGTGCGCTGATTTTAAAAACCTCCACTTACATCGAGACAGGACAAACAATAAATCACTTACCCTCTACAGACCTTTAAATAAAAACCGTGAAAACGACTAAGCTGTAAAAATTTTCAAATTAAATCAAAACTTGACCAGCATGCAGAGAAAAATAATGTCTTTATTCAAAGAAAAGACAGGGAAACCGGAGATTAAAAGATACCCCACAAATGGGGTGCTGTGGTGGCGCAGGGGCAAAGCACAACCCATGTATTGAGGCCTTAGTCCTCATGCCGGTTCGATTTTGCCGCATGTCTTCCCCCCCTCTCATCACCCTCCTTCCTGTCAAACCTACTTTCAAATAAAGGCCACTAGAGCCAACAAAACCTTAAAAAAAAAAAAAAAAGATACCCCACAAAGTCAAAAAAAAAACAGCTAAAGAAGATTTTGAGCAATCCGAGTCAGGATGAGGAGGCGCCATGTCAGGAAGATGAAGTGGAAGCTACAGGGTCTTCAGAACAAACAGATCATGATGCTAGAAGCTATTAGAGAAAAATACTAAATTTTGACAAAAGAAATTGCCAAAAATTTTAAAATTGGTTAAAATGGAGTAAAAATGAGTGTGCCTCATCTCTCCTGATTAGTAGAATAATTTCAAAGTGATTTTGGGTCGATAGGTCACATGACCTAGAAGCTATTGACAAAATATACAAAATTTTGACTAAAAAAATTGCCAAAAATTTAAAAAGGAGTTAAAATTGAATATAAATGAGTGTGCCTCATCTACACAGAATAGTAGAAGAATTTCCCACTGGTTTTGAGTCAATACGTCACATGACTTGGAAGCTATTGAAGAAAAACACTAAAATTTAACTAAAAAAATAGCTAAAATAAAAAAAATCAGCTAAAATGGAAAAAAAAAATCTGTGCCTCATCAATCCAGACTATTTGAATAATTTCAAAGTGATTTTGAGTCGATAGATCACATGACCCAGAAGCTATTGTCAAAAAATACTAAATTCTGACTAAAAAAAATAGCTAAAAAATAAAAAAAGAGTTAAAATTGAATATAAATGAGTGTTCCTAATCTCTCCTGACTTGTAGAACAATGTCACACTAATTGAGGGTCAATAGGTCACATGACCTCGAAGCTATTGATGAAAAATACTAAATTTGGACTAAAAAAATTGCTAAAAAAATAAATAAGATTTTGGTAAAACAAACTTAAAACAATAATTGAGCATCAATGGAAAATTAAATAAATATTTAGAAGGGATGATGAAAAATTTACTACCTTTAGTTACTTCTTGCTACCTTTTACTGGCCGTTAAATTAAATGAGCTCAAACCTTTTACTACCGTGCGGAAACCCTGTAAAATAGTACTGTGCTGTATGAGTACTTACAGAACTGGTTTTGGGCCCGGTGGCTGCTGTGCTGTCTCGGGCTAGGGCTACAATGACGTTGCTCTTCTCACCAGCCCAGTGGACCACCATCTGATTATGAGAGTCATTCAAGTTGGCCTGCAAGACACAAATAAGAAATAAAAACAAGAATCAGATATGAATTTAAGAAACTCTAATATATTTAATACTATGCCTTAAGAGACTAAAAACAATTTTACTGAAGTAAATTGTGGTGTGTGGATCACTAAAAGGGGGTCCTAATTACCTAAGCTAAACCAAACATTATTACAAACACAGGCTGAGTATTTGTAATACAGGCTGTAGAATGTGAGCTGTACAATGTTGTTCCAGGTTCCTTAATTTCTGCTCTAATTGTTAGCTTCAGTCTGACTCCACCATTATCTGTGTATTTATAAGCCAAGTTAGCCTTCACTGTTTTTACAAGTAAACAGAGGAATAATGGAGCAGAGTGAACTGGTTTGTTTTGTTGCTTCACTGTTAAGTAGTCGACTGAACAGTCAGTTGATTAACATTTTCCTGAGTTAATTGGTACTGTAGGAAAACTCTCGATGAGGGAGCTTGGAGTGACAGAACACCATTATTGGTGAAGCCATTTAAACAGATAGCATTAGCTTATGTTGTTCAGCCTGGACAGTCCAAGAACTTTATTATTTCACCGTTCTATTTAGTAGTGCTTTTCTGACCTTTACACATTGTTTTCACACATCATTGTCATAGCATTAGCTTGTAGCATTAGCACAGTTAGCATCTGACATTTTTTTGGCATTTCATGTTTTCATTTTCATTTCATCTGGATATCAGCAAAGTACCTCTGAACAATATGTTTGTGTTTACCTTGTATATGTAAGGAGCGTCTTATACACTTTTTTCTGAATTTACTCGCCACGACATCAGACATCAGAGCTTAATACTGTCAAATCTATTTTTAACAGTTGCAGTTTAATATATGTTTCAGGAGGGGTTAGGGCAGTAATAATGGCGAAGTTATAATGGGGGAACATTATAACTTCCCCCCAACTTCCTCGAGCAGAGAGGCTAGATCAGTGGTGTGGTTGTCTTTTTGTGGAGTTACAAGGGCAGGGAAATATATGTAATATCAGTAAAGATCGCTTATTGCCCATCACAGCAATATTAAGATTGGATATGAATATTGGCCCAAATTTTTAAAATTGGTGGAGCCCTACTTATTTATTTTGGGGGGCAAAAAGAAACAGTACTAAAATATAGCAGGTGGAAGCAGAAATAACTTTTTTGTGTTTGTAATTTCATACCAGAGCAGACTGACTTGGAACACACCCAGATCACTTAAAAAGGAAAACCAATCTGTCGTTTTCCATGACCATGTCATCAACACCTGAGTGGCGTACCTCTAATTTTGCCTGCATGTCTGTTTCCATGTAAACAGTAAGTACTGCAATGACAAGCCAAAACACCAACTCCTCCTGTGTGCACCTCCCATCAGGCAGATGGATCAATACAAAGAAATGGGCTATTTTATCCTTCTTGTTACTGCTTGGCTATCTCATCTCTCAGAGTTCTCCTTTGCTAATCTTGTATTGATGACTCCAAGAGGGGGTAGATCCCTGAAGGAGCTTAATTTTTACTTCCAGCGTCTTTATGCTGCTCCAGAAATAACACACAGCTTTTTTGCCATAGGTTTTTTGTGGCCCGATCCGACCCGCTCTCCACCTTCTTCTGAAACAATTCTATTGCTACAAGAGAGGCCACAGCTTCATATTTGCCAATCTAACACCAGTGATCCTGCCATGATCTTACAGGGAGAAAGAAAAAATAAATCTAAGAAAAGGCAAAGACGCCAATATCTTTTCCTACAGCAACCTGAAAAAAGAAAATCTATAAAACTAACGCACTAACTAGAAATATTGAGCTCTCGTTCAGGGAGTGGGTGAACAACAAAGAGGCACGGCAAGTAAATGATGATTTATCAATGTGGTTTTGCCCTTTGTGACTACAGCATTCCGGAGAACAAGTGCAGATGTTGTCGCCAAAGTGTTACCTACACACAAAGGCCCCACTTGACTGAGACACACCGCCTCGTCAGCATGCCTGGGTAAAAGCCTGGGCCGTCTCTCTAGCCACGGTCCTGCAGCAGTAAATTTCTGTATTTTATATCGGGTGAAGAGGACTGGAGAGCAGGAGCCAGTCTCTGCAGCCTGGCACGGTTGAACTGGAGTCAGTCTGGCTGTGAAGACAAAAGGCTTTTTCACACTTTGCAGCACACTGCACACACACAAGATGACACTATTAGGGTCCATTGACCGGTGATCAGAGCTCTGGTGGTAGAGCAAAAACTCTGGGGGGTGTTACAGCTGAATATGGAGTAGGATGATGATGATGATGATGAGAAGCTGTTTTATACCATTGTAGCCTACAGATGCTGTGTTTTTTTTGCAACACAGCATCTTGATTTCATGGTTCAGAAGCTGCTGCACAGCCTTTGTGGTTCAGCTAGCGAGCCTTCTCCAAGCTCGGCTGACTTGTACCCGACCCTTCCTCATGCGATCATCAGCGGATTACAGGGACAGTGTTGGGCAATTCCAGCTCTGGGTCTGACAACCACAAATCAGAGGCAGCAGCAGAGTTGTTCTTCAGATTCTGAGTCAACAGACCTCAACTTTACAACATTCCTGTGGCCAGTTTAAAACTCAGACGCATACTGCACCATGTTTTACAGATTCCTCCAACACTTACAGCACCACACAAGTTCACCGCGAGCTGAGAATGTGTCTGTGGTGGACAACCTCTGCAGCAGGATGCTTGACACTTTAAACTGCACTCCAGAATGTAGCCAGGATCAGCCAGAGGATTTCTGACTGAAGAATAGTCAGAAATGATTCCTCGAATGATTCAAGTACTTCAATTACTAAAATTCCTAGAAAAAAATGATCTGCCTCTAAACTTTGTTAAATTATGTTTTATTATTTAGCACACAAAATGTCATCCGGATGATTATTTGTGTTGCATAACGCTCTCACTTGCATCTATGAGTTGTTGACAAATGTTACGAACTAACAGCATGAAATCCAATTTTCAAGTTCAGTCCAGGTGAACTTCATTGCAGATGATAATGTCTGGGCTTTTTGGGAGACAGACAAAAATGTCTCATGGTGCGATGCATGAAATACAACAACCATTCTCCTCCTAGAACTGCTGCCTGGCTTATTCAGAGTAAAAACAGTGGGTGTAATTACATAGGTGAGCAGATAGACTGAACACAGCAGGCTGCTATGCTGTAGTTGATGCTTAACATAGCATCAACTTTGAGAACGAACTGGAAAACAAAATTTCATTTCATCCCGGTCACAACAAATATGTGGCAGAGCACATAGTGGAAGTAGCTGGCAGATGTTTCTGTTTGTGATGAAGAAGACAAATCCTGTCATTCACATGGGCATAAAAGATATAAATGGCTGGGCAAAGTGCACTGTAAAACAGAACACTACAATACGTTCAGAAGAATTTATAAAATTTGTTGTTCAGACATGAAATTCAAAATAGAATTAAATAAATTAACATTTAATTCAATAAATAAAAATTTGGGCTGCACCAAATGCAAATATATATATATATATATATATATATATATATATATATATGTATATATATATATATATATAAAATTAAAAAAAATTCCCTTCTCACCCTCCGCGGGTGGTCTCTCTTTTCATCCTCTGAGCTCGAGTCCTCTACCAGAGGCCTGGGAGCTTGAGGGTTCTGCGCAATATCTTGGCTGTGCCTAGAACTGCACATTTCTGGACTGAGATGTCTGATGTTGTTCCTGGGATCTGTTTTAGCCACTGCCCCAGTTTGGGGGTGACTGCCCCGAGGGCCCCGATGACCACAGGCACCACTGTGGTCTTCACCTTCCAGGCCTTCTCCAGTTCCTCTCTGAGGCCCTGGTATTTCTCCAGTATATATATATATAGATATATATATATATATATATATATCTATATATATATATACTTATTTATTTTTATTTCATTATTTATTTTTTTGTGTGTAGAAAATTTCTTAATCTGGGACCTGAGTACAAATTTTGTACCACAAACCCAAGCTTGGGTTTGTCAAATCCTTGAATCATTATCAATGAGAAAATATATATTGAACCAATGGGCTCTTTGCACGTCTGCTTCCACATTCGGGGATAAGCGGCTCGGTCACTTCCGGTTTATTGAAAATGGCATTTTACAGGAGGTGCTTGCAGGGCTTGCCCAAGGTAACAATCAGTGATCTACATCGATCTGAATCTCCAACAAGTAAGCTGGAGAACGGTTTTAAGATGTACGGCTTCTGTATGTTACAGGAAAACATCGCCAGTGAAAGTCTATATAAACCCACAACTAGCCTTAAAAACAACAAATAGACAATTAAATGAATATCAATTATTTGCACTTCTGTTTAATCCAAAATTAAGTCAGTGGCTTCATCAGGCCCCCAGGCCTTCAGGGACCCCATAAATGCTAATATTTTAACACAGACCACAAATGTATAAATGTAATATGTACTTATTGAGATTAACGACACTGCTAAATTTGATTTAATAGCTTCAGCATACATAAATTTAAATATTTTAAATTGTTTAACATTTAAATTTAAGATTTTAAGGAGCTGGGAAGTTTACAGGTGGAGTACTCCCTATTTAACCCAGAAAATGATTATTTTGGATTATTTTAGTTTATTAGTAATATCAGAAATTATGGAGTACGCACTATTTAGATCAATATTATACAGCCCAAAAATGGAATCAGAATTAGAATTAGAATAACTACGAACTTGTAATTCAGAAATACTCAACAGGAACAGTCACTGCTTAATTTATATTACTTTTAACCCAGAAAAGGATTTAGAACAAACTTAGAATTGTGATGTACTCTCTTTAACCCAGAAAAGAAATTAGATCAGTAACTCTTTAGCTTATTTTATCAGAAACTGTAGAGTATTCACTATTTAGAAGTGGAATTAGATACTTAGCAACCCTGAACAGGAGCACTTAGTTTGCATACTTTAGGACATTAAATTAATTTTCTTTCCTCTTTTTTCCTTTGGTTTGTTATTTTGTTTGTATTTACTTTTA